TACACACAGAGAGAAGACGTCGTCGACTAGTACGTCGTACGTACGTTATTATTTATTACTATATATATATATATATATATATATAACACACACACACACACACACACACACATATATATATATATATATATATATGCATATATATATATATATATAAATATATATATAAATATATATATATATATATATGTATATGTATATATAAATATAAATATAAATATAAATATATATATGAACATAAAATATAAATATCAATATAAACATGAACATGAAACATAAACATAAACGTATATACATAACATACCCCTGCATAATATGTTCACGATTGCCGCGAGCCTTGTCTACATTGCCAGTATTGATCCTATGTTCTTGGATACGTGGTGGTACGTTTGTTTGCCGTCCGCGCACAGGCAGTGACAACTGGTGACTCAGTTGCTTCGTCACTGTCCGCCCTAAGGCAAATACGTTAAGGGAAGGTAAGACCAAGGACAAAGCATCACATACCATACAGCACGTGATAGCTACGCGCATGTACAATATGAAACAAGTAATATGCACACATATGTATAATATAAAACAAGCAATCTGTACACACATGTATAATAAAAAACAAGCAATATGCACACATATGATGATATGAAACAAGAAATATGTACACATGTATGATAAAAAACAAACAATATGTACACATACATATAATATAAAACAGGCAATAGCTACGCACATATATAATACACGACAAGAAATATGTATACACACGTATACCATGACGGAGACACTGCCCATACGACCAGACTTTCAATACACACAGGTGTAGTTCTAATACACACAGATGTACATTTAATACACACAGATGTACATTTAATACACACAGATGTACATTTAATACACACAGATGTACATTTCATACACACAGATGTACATTTCATACACACAGATGTACATTTCATACACACAGATGTACATTTCATACACACAGATGTACATTTCATACACACAGATGTACATTTCATACACACAGATGTACATTTAATACACACAGATGTACTTTTAATATACACAGAAGTGTTGTGCGCTTACCTTTGGTTTTGAGTGACGCAGTCCTGCCCAGATGCTCGCTCGTAATCGTCTGCGGCTTGTCACTGTAAACCTCGCCTGCTGGTTCATTCGCCCTACTGCTCCCGTTGCCATGGTTACCAGGCCTGACCTTGGAAATGGCCGAGTGCGAATATGCACTGCGTGCGCGTGCCATGCTTCCAGCGGTGTGCGACTGTGCCGTATTCTGTTACGTTCGATAGAGATAAGTGCATGTGGGATGGATATGCAGTATATAATAAATGGACGTCCTGAGATCAAGAAAAGTGCATATGGGATGCATATACAGGGTATATTATATATACACTCGTGTATTGGGATGTTACTCGTGTTCGAAGTATGAAGAGTGGGGTATGGATGTGCATACAAAGCTTAACGCGTGTAGAACTCTCAATCTCTAAGTAACAAAGAACAGAGAAACACACACACACACACGCACATTATATATATATATATACACATATACATATACATATATATGCATATATATATATATATATACACACACGCAAACATATATATATATATGTATATATAATATCAATATAATAAGAAATAAGAAATAAGAATATAATAGGATATACCTAAGTGTGTCCTGTGAGCTAGATCCAGTGTAGATTGACACTCTTCTAAACAATCACATCTTGCTACACGTTCGGACAATAAAACTACAACCGATAAAAACACAAATGGAGCGAATAAAATACCACATCTTACTTCAACTAAAGCCACTTCACAACGTATGAACCATAAAGACACTAACTCTGTGGCAGATGTCGTTTACCAGGTCGTTCATGACGTTTACTACCAAGTCTCAGACTCACCTTTAGCTGAGCTGCCGTCGTGGATCTCATTGGATGTGAGGCTTTATTCGTAAATGCGCTGTGTCCGTTACTTCGCGCGCCAAAAAGAGCGGCCGAACTTCGGGATCCTTTACCAGCCGTACCAGCTACAGCGCCAGTGCTGCAACGTGGACATGCAAAATAAATGAATATAAAATAAAAACCAGATTTTCTGGAAATTGGGATTCGAAGACTCCGTTGACGACTGCATCTTGCAGAGATATGAATACGCACACGCCATTGTAACACACACTCACACTACACACACACCCTAACGCATCCATCAAAGACCGTATATAAACTCTCCATCGTACACAGATATGAATACACACACGCCATAGTAGCACACTCAAACTACACACACTCTAACGCATCCTTCAAAGACTATTTATAAACACTCCATCGTACACAGATATGAATACACACACGCCATGGTAACACACTCAAACTACACACACTCTAACGCATCCTTCAAAGACTATTTATAAACACTCCATCGTACACAGATATGAATACACACACGCCATGGTAACACACTCAAACTATTCACACACTCTAAACGCATCCATCAAAGACTATTTATAAACACTCAATCGTACACAGATATGAATACACACACGCCATAGTAACAACCGCTGCTACTTCCACTTGGTACTTGTTGTAGGGGTGAAACCCTAAACCCTAGTACGCTTGTGGGTATATCCCGCATACCAGCACCCACTCCAACTCCCAACAACACCCACACTCCCATGTTACCGACTCATAGGCTCATCGGCCAGTCTATCCATCGCGTCAGTCCGTGCACCCCGTCCCGGTATTGCGCAATACATCCCGGTTTCCCGTACATGTACATGACACACACAACAACTGCGTATACGTATACACTCACCTCCTGTTAGTGGGGGCTTGGCCCGGTCGACCGATTCGCATAGCACTGGCAGGGCGTGTGGACACGGAGGACTGTGCACAGACATTGGGCGAAGGTGTAGGTAAGCATTTGTGCGGGTTTAGAGTTTAGGGTTTAAGATTGATGGGTAAGCTCATGCGGGTGTTGAATGTCGGATGTAGATAGCGAAAGGGATGTACCTGTAATGGCGATACGTGTATGTACGTGCATGTATGTATATGTGTAGTATGTACGTACATGTATGTATGTGTGTAGCATAGACGTGCATGTAGGTATGTACGTGTGTAACACAGACGTGCACGTAGGTGTGTATATGTGTAGCATAGACGTGCATGTAGGTATGTATGTGTGTAGCTAGGACGTGCATGTAGGTAATAGTGTAATATGTACGTGCATGTATGTATGCATACAGTACATACGCGCATGTATGTATGTGTGTAGTATGTAGATTTATGTATGTATGTGCGTAGTATGTAGATTTATGTATGTATGTGTGTAGTATGTACATTTATGTATGTATATGTGTAGTATGTACGTGCATGCATGTATGTATCTGTAGCATGTACGTGCATATATGTATGTATGTGGTACATACGTGCATGTATGTATGTGAGTAGAATGCACGTGCATGTCTGTATGTGAGTAGAATGCACGTGCATGTATGCATATGCTTCATACATGTATGTAGTCCTACCTTCATACGCACCGGGGTTGCTTCATTCGCAGCCATCATAGCTGGCTGTGCATGTGTGCTTGTGTGTGCTTGTGTGTGTGCCTGTGCCTGTGCCTGCACTCCTCTGGCAGCGTAAGGGCTGTGGACAGATGTTTGTGTGCGTGTTGTCATGTCTGTGCGACTGATATCCTTGCGGCTGATGCAGGTGTTGGCGTCTTCTAACCCCAATCCGTGCTTGATCCGTTCACGCTGTAACATTTCTTTGAACTTGGACGGCTTGAGACCGACAAACAAGCTGTTTAGGGCGATCGAATGGAGGGGTTAGGGGTCATTGCTATGCTACTAAGTGGAATATACCCGAGCGCACAGGCATGACACACTGATGTGTGTATGCTACAATGCATGTTTTAGGGTTTGAGTTACTGATGTGGCGCTTTCCGAGGTACTATATCTCAAGATCACTTCATCTGGATGGGTCCTGTATAAGGCGTTAAGTACTACTTGAACGCTTTACGAAGTACTACATCTCAAGATCACTTTGTCTGGATGGGTTCGGTATAAGGCGTTAAGTACTACTTGAACGCTTTCCGAA